AATGCAGGGATTCCTTTAACCACCGTGTGGCAGCAGAAGTCGCAAAATGGGGCAAAAAACTAACTTAACGAATGTTTCACTTATTGCAACATAAATTTTGGACCCCATTGTACCGTTGCCCTGAAAATAAGACCCAACTGGAAAATAAGCCCTAGCATGGTTTTTCGGGATGCTTGTTAATATAAGCCCTACCCAGAAAACAAGCCCCAGTTTAAGATTGTCAGCCAGACGGACACATCTGAAACCGTGTTTTCCTGAAAATAAGACCTAACTGGAAAATAAGCCCTAATGCCTCTTTTGGAGCAAAAATTAAGATAAGGGGAAACACGGTAGTCGTAATTTGAGGATAACCTGCAGCTGTAAGCCGAGGACTATCTATAATGCAACTGCCTGTCTTGAGAGGCAGATGAAGCCGCCATGTTCAATTGTTTTAATTCCCAGAAATTCAGGCAATACAGAGAAGAGGCAAACGTCGTCTCTCCTTCTCTCAAAAAAAGGAACCGGATGCTTACCAGCCCACTCTCGTTGAGCGCCAAGTTCTCGTCGGTCAGTCTGTGGCCCCCGGGGGCGAGCAGCTCAAACGGCAGCCAGTCATTCTGCAGAGTCTCCCGCACAAAGTGGAACACGGCTGAAACGGGCTCTCGGGCATAGAAGGTCCCTGCGGGAACAGGAGGAAGCGGGGAGGGAAAGAAATATGAATTTTCAGCCGCCTTTCGTAGCACCAAGAGGAGCCATAAATGGCGGTGAACAACCGCAGGATCTGCTTAATGACGCCCTGAAAAACAAAAAAAAACCCTCAGAAAATTAGGCACCGTCCAGGTTGCTTAAACAATCGCCGTGACTTTTTTAACGACCGTAATTCCAGGGCTCAATTTCAGCCGTTCAGTTGAAGATCACCTGTAAGTAAGGACCAGACCTAGAGCCTTGATGGCGAACCTATGGCACGCATGCCGGAGTTGTCGTGCAGAGCTCTCGTGGTGGCCACAAGCACCATCGCCGGTTGGTCTTCTGGTTGCTGGCGTGCCAGCCAGCTGGTCTTCGCGGGCACCGGAGCGCCAGAAAACGGGCCGAAAAATGGCAAAAACCAGGGTCTTTTTCTGGCAGTTTTCCAGGCTGTTTTCTGGCCATTTTTGGCATGAAAAATGATCTGAAAACAGCTAAAAAGAAAAGGCCTGAAAACACCCCTCAAACAGGCCATTTTCTGGGCCATTTTCAGGCCATTTTTCATGCCAAAAAAACAGGCCATTTTCCAGACCATTTTCTGGGCAATTTTCAGGCTATTTTTGGTGCGAAAAACAGCCTGAAAATGGCAAAAAAAAAACCCATGACATGGGGGCACCAGCCAGCTGGTCTTTGGTTTTTCTGGCGCTCTGACACACGCACACGCCCGCACGTTCCGGTTTGACCACTTGGTGCCGAAAAGGTTCTCCATCCCTACTGCCCCGGAGGCCAGCGATGGCCCATCGGGATTTCACATAGGATGGGATTCTGCACATTCGGCAACTTTTAAGACTTCAACTCCCAGAATTCCTGGGTGCGCCCCGGTCTAGGTAAGCATTGGTCACCTGATTCCAGTAAAGTCTTCAGTGACTGTGGGTAATCCTTGACTTACGACGGTTCGTTTAAGTGACCACTGGAATTTACAACGGCACTGAAAAAAGTGACATGGCCGTATTTCACGCTGACGACCGCGGCAGCATCCCCGTGATCAAAAATCTCGGCCCCTGGTTCACATTTGTGACGGTCGCAGTGTCCTGGAGGAGTCATATGGTCCCCCTTTTGTGACCAAGCGAGTCAATGAGTGGGGGGGAGCCAGATTCACTTAACAACCGTGTGACTAACTTTATCAATTGCGGTGGTTCATTTAACAACTGACAAAAGGCCGTACAATGGGGCGGAATTCACTTCACGAGTGTCTCGCTTAGCAGCAGAAATGGTCTGGCTCGGCCAACCGCAAGCCCATTCCCCCGCCCCCTTTACCTTGTAGGATGTACCCGTCGGGGAAGCGAATCCGCAGGAGGGTGTAGTTGTATCGTCTCAGCTCCCGCTGCTCCTCCTTCTCCCGCATGGCTTTCGTCCTCAGCATGGAGGCCTTCTCAACGGCGTCTGTCCTTCAGAGAGGAAGAGGAGAGGGTCAAAAGCGGACAGGAGAGAGAGAGAGAGTCCTTGACTTAGGACCGCGTGCTTAAGTACCTCCCGGACCTATTTTCCCACCTGGTTTCGATGTTCCAGCATCTGCTTCCCGTTCACAGGATCCCGCCATTTTGGGACCGGAACTGTTTTTACAGTCATGTGACCATGATTGACAAACCTGCCCCACAAGTTCACTTGGCACTAGCGCTTAGACTTACATCCCGCTTCACAGTGGCTCTACAGCCGCTCTCTAAGCCGTTTACCGTGTCAGCCTCTGGCACCCCAACGATCTGGGTCCTCCTCATTCGGAAGGAGGGAAGGCTGAATTGACCTGGAGCCGGTGAGACTCGAACTCCTGGTAGTGGGCAGAAATTAGCCTGCAATGCTGTGTTCTAACCACAGCACCACCAGGGCTCTTGAGAGAGAGAGACGAGAGAGAGATGAGAGATGATAGACAATGTAGATAGGAGAGAGAGAGAGAGATTGTGGATGAATGGATGGATGGATGGATAGATGGATGATACATAGATGATAGGAGAGAGAGAGAGATTGTAGATGGATGGATGGGGACAGACAGAGATAGATAGATGATGGTTGGATTGAAGTTAGATGGTAGATAGATGAGAGAGACAGACAGACAGACAACAGAAAAACCCAGGCTTAACACCTAAGAAAACAACCAAAAAAGGGAAAAATAAGGTGAAAAGTGGATATAATGTTAGAAAGCCACAGAAAAAGGGAACACAGAAGAGGGAAATGGAGGTGGAGAGACAAAGGGATAAAAAGGGCAGAGAGAAGAAGCAAGGGAGGAAGGAAGGGAAGAGAAGTTACAAAAGTGTGGAGCAAGATGTAAAAAACAGGACTTATTTAGAGATAATGGGTAAAAATTTAACTGAAAAAGTGATTCTGCAAAGGTACATAAGATTGCATTGTTATATTTGTATTAGAAATTATGTTAGAAAATTGGAAATAACATATGATTAAAAAGTGGGATAAAATACTCAGTGTAACTCAGTGAAACTTTTGTGAACAAAATAAATGAAATGAAATAAATGAGAGAATTGAACTAGGAAGGAATGGGAACATTTTAATGATATAATGTTTTAAAATATGAGTGAAGTAGGGGGAAACAACTATGGAAAGTTTATAACTGTTCCCATAGAAATATGATACTTATTTGAAAAGTAATGTGTAAAATGTTTAAGATTTAAATGAATACTAATATTAATAATAGATTTGAATTGGCATGGACTTGTTGTTTTAATTATATTATATATCTATAACTTTTTGTCTTTTTAAAATATACTGTGTAACTTTAGAATGTACTAAGCAGAATCCAAATGGAAGTTATGTATTATATTAAGTGTTATAAATTTAGGGGAAAGATATAAAGGCGTCATACTCCAATCAGTGATTACAGGAGAAATTTTGTCTAATGAGAAAAGATAACAGATAGCTGGAAACAGGACAGGCAAAGAACATAAGTATAATGATATGAATTGAGATGAAATAAATAAAATAAAATTAAGGAAGTTAGAAGAGGGGAGAAGCTATATAGAATATGTAGAATGGTAATAAGACAGGGAATGGTATATAAAATGAACATGAATTTGAATTTGTGTCCGTACGAAGAGACGTAACCCGGGATCAAGCTGCTCTCAAAAAAGTTGTTTTATGTTTTTACGTTTTGTTTGTTCATGTTTGTTTTTAAAAATCAATAAAAAAAATTTCAAAAAAAAAAGAAAAGAAAAACCCAGGCTAAGTCAGGAGAATGGCGTGGCAGGAAAGGCTGAGTTACGACTCACCCTGAGGTCGCTCACTCACCGTATCCTCTGCTCCCGCCTCAGCTCCTCCGCGGTGAGGTTGAAGAAGTCACTGGGCAGCTCGAAGTGAGACGCTTGTGCAGAAGGCTTGAAAATCTGGAGCTGGCGATCCAGCTTGGCCCTCACCGGCTCCCCGTTCATCAGCTTCTCCTTGTGCTCTTTCAGCTGGTCCAGCTTCTCCAAGGCTTCGTCCTTCAACACGTAGAAGTCCTCCGTGGCTTCTTCTGGGAGGACAAAAAAAAAACCTGGCTTGTTCTGACCCAACTCCCCAAACAGCGACCAACCGTCTGAAGTGAACTCGAAGGTTCCTTTATCAGGAGCGCTGGAAGCCGCGGCAAAAAGTTTCTCTCTCAACGCAGGCTAACACGTCCGTCCGGCAGGAGATGAATCGTTGTTTGCCACACCGATTCTTCTCCGTCCCCTGCCTTTTATCCCCAGAGCTAAGGTGGAGCTTCGCTAGCAGTGGTGGCTCTTCCATCCCAAGGACCGGCCTATAGATCTCCACTGCTCTCCTCTCCTCTGACTTCTGTGCATCAGGCACCGGACCCAGGTGTTCCTCCTCTTCCTCATCAGCCACCTCCAGACCTGGGGGCTGTTGACTCTCCATTTGAGGGCTGACGGATAGTCCAGGCTCTCGCTCTCTCTCCCTCCCCCTCTCTCTTTCTCTCTCTCTCTCTCTGCCAGCTCCTTTCCCTCTTCCCCATCAGAGCTCTCAGGTTGCTTGGATGCTGACCCTGACTCCTACACCTCCTCCTCCTCCTCCTCTGATTCGGCTGCTGGAGGGGCTGGTGGCCACAACAAGGGGGTTGGTTTTTGGGTTTGCCGCATACAGGTGTTCCTCGAGGTATGACCCCCGCAACAGAGCCCCAAATTTCCATGACTAAGTGAGACAGCCGTTAGGTGAGTTTCCCCGCCCCGACCCTCCATCAATGACACTTTCTTGGCACCATTGTTAAGGGAATCCGCTGGGGTTGTTAAATTAGCAACACGGTTGTTAAGCGAATCTTGGCTTTCCTGTCGAATTTAGGAGGTCGCAAAAGGAGATCACATGACCCCCCCCACCCCACCCCAATAAATAGGAACCGGTTGCCAAGACTCCAAATTTTGATCACGTGACCGGAGGAGAATGCTGCAACGGTTGGGTTATTTATGACGGTTGTGGCCTCCAAAAATTGTGCGATCGCCGTCAGCAACCTCCCCCAAGTCAGCTTGCTATAAGGAAAGTCAATGGAGGGAGAGGGAGCCGGATTCACTTAACAACCACGACGTTTCATTTAACAACCATGGTCATTCACATAACAACCGTGACGGAAAATGTCACAAAAATCAGGCCTCCTTAGACTTAGAATAACTTTGTCACTTTGAATGTACACTGACCGGCAGACGTTAAAATGAAACTTCGTTGCATATACAGCTCTCAACCACCTCCGAGATACACTACATAAAACTGACAAAATAAATAAATACAAAATATACTACGTGACCCAGGGAAAACAACACAGTCTACTTTGGATGTATCCGTGTACGTGGCAAGAAAAATGAAACCCGTGAGTTTGCCAGACCGATGGCACAGGGAACAAACCTGTCGACAGAATCCGGAAGTCTGGCTAGAAATACTTCGAAACCTCCCCCCCTTCCCCCCCCCCCCAAGGAGAGCAACAGAAACAGACCGCGAAGTGGGTTTGTGGGGGTCTCTTAACAAGGCTTTGATCCCTAAGCCCATAGCGCTTAGAAGCAGCATCCCGAATAACGGGAAGTGAGCTTCTCCACTGTCCTCAACACTCACTGTAGGGACTTTCTATCTGAGACACTGCAGCCACCAAAGCAAACAGGGACGCAATTTGTTAAAACAATCTCCGTTGTGCCTCAGTTGTGTAAAAAGTAGCCAGGACGGAAGGAGAAAGATGTGCTCTTCTGCTCTGAAGCAGGAAATGCAGAGATGTTGGTTTGCATGCTTCACTAAGGAGGACGGGGGGCGGGAGAGACCAATTAAAAGCCATCCGGCATAGCAACGGAAATTCTGTGGGTTTTAAGTCGAGGCTACTTGACCCCAATGGCTATCGATGAAATGACACCCCAAAAGCAGAGAGAGGGGACAAAACGGAGTTTCCCCAAGGGAGGGGATGACGGAAAGGGGACCGCAGCTCAAGTAGTTTTATTGGCATTAGGGAATGCTAGTCCATAGGAAGGCTGACCTTGTCCGGCAACGTCCAGAGCCACCTTTTCGAACCCGACCGCCTGGAAAAACTGGTCTGTTCCTTCCAGGCAGTGGATCCTTTCCTGGGGGAGGAAAAAAAAGGGGGATGGTGGTCAGAGAAGATTCACAGAGAAGATTTAATTTTTCTTTTGTGTGAGGTTTATCCCAACTTCCACCAGGAGACTTAGACCTCCACTTCGCCTCTCGAGGGCCCAGGAATTCTCCCCTTTGCGGCTGCTCTTATTTTTTTAGGCATCAAAACACAAACCAGTCTGGAACTCTGAAATGATAGGTGTTGACGGCGGCAAAGATTCCTGGGCGCACAAACATGGGAGGACATTTAGATGCCCATCATGGCTTCAAAAGTTGACGGGGTAAGCAGAGATGGCGAAATTGACCGATTTGATCAAAGAAAGGGAAAAAAAACACAACCACAACTATTTTTGTTTCTAATTGGAAACAGTAAACAGCTGTCCGTATACGGTACTGTGTATACTAACTGTGTATAACTAACTCTCAGTTATCTGAGCCTGGTATGGTCTGGGCCCATAACCAGTGTTGAGGTAATTCCCCGTTAGGAGAGTGAGCGCACACAGGGAGATGTAGTGAGAGTGGTGAGGAATAACACACAACCAGCACGTTTACTGTATAGTAAAATGTAGGTTTTTTACTTCCAGTAAAAACGGTTAAGCAAAGACCAACAAGCAGTCCAAGTCATACACGGTTAAAGTCCGTTTTTCAGTCCAGGGATAATCCAAATATCAAAGTCCAGTATCATAAACAGTTCAGTAACAGACTTACAGCAATCCAAGAAGAACGACGATCAGCAACAGTCAGTAAGGAAAAATTCAGGGACCAAAAACAGCGAACATCAACCAACTAGTAACTATCAACAACAGGACATAAACAACCCAGGTTTCTGGTTCTGTTTGAGGAACCACACCCAATTACAATTTTAGCATCCCTTTAAAGAGACAGTATTAAATGTCTATCCTAGTTTATATATTTCCAACCCAACTGTTAGGTGGACTAACAATTCCTAACAGGTTTTTACTGATTAGACTGATTGGTTGTTATAGAAATTGCTGGTTTAGAATAGAATAACCAGGATTGGAAGGGACCTTGGAGGTCTTCTAGTCCAACCCCCTTGCTTAGGCAAGAAACCCTCCACCACTTCAGACAAATGGTTATCCAACACCTTTTTAAAATCTTCCAGTGTTGGGAGAATTCACAAAAGTGAATTCTCAAAAGTGAATTCTCCACTGATTAATTGTTCTGTCAGGAAAATTCCTCCTTGGTTCTAAGTTGCTTCTCTCCTTAGTTAGTTTCCCCCACCGTTGCTTCTTGTCCTGCCTTCAGGAGCTTTGGAGAATAGCTTGACTCCCCCTTCTTTGGGGCAGCCCCTGAGATACTGGAAGACCGCTATCACGTCTCCCCAGGTTCTTCTTTTCATCAAACTAGACATACCCAGTTCCTGCAACCGTTCTTCATACGTTTTAGTCTCCAGTCCCCTCATCATATGAAAAAGTAAAATGTTGAGTTTTGATGTTAATGCCTTATTTTACTGCAACAGAGGGAGTCGGAAGTCAAAGCCTTCCAACCACCCCACTCCTTCCAACTTCTCTCTTCTCTTTTCCCTTCCTTCTGTGTCCTACTATTTGCTTTTGTATTTTTTTGTATTTTATACCGTAAACAATTTTTTAAAAACACCACAAATTATGAGAATGCACAATGACACCAAGCACTGATGGGGAAACAGCTGGATGGCAGATACCTCTGCGCCAGTGGCAAGGCCCTCGTCCTGGTTCTGAATCTTATATATACTGTATATAAAAGCGAAATGCCCCTCACGCATCATCACAAAATCTCCAGAACCGCAAAGCCTATAAACCTGACATTGGGCACGTATGTTTGTCTTGGCTTCTAGGTGCTCACTAAGAAAGGATTTTTCGAAATGACCATCATCAGAGCGTTAGGATTTTCTATATGATTATTATTATTAACACGCTCTGATGCTAAGGAGTTCGAGTCCCCCTCCCCACCTGAAAAGAAATCTCTTCCAAAGGCAAAACACAAGCACAGGTGTCTCAGTTTCAGTTTCACAGCACCAAGCAGCTTTAGTACAGAACAGTTGAGCTAAGCCACGCCCACGCTCCTTGCTGGCTCCTCCTTGCTCACACAACGAACACTGTTTCACTTTCCAAACAGCCCTCAACTCTCTCACACACTGACAGGACGCTAGCCAGATGAATACCGATGGATGCTGGTAGGCAGAGGCAGAAATTTTTCCCCCTTATTTTCTTCACCAAAAACTAAGCTGGATCACATAGTTTTGTAGCGAAACACAAGTCTCGAACTAGTGTTTTATTATTTGAAAAGCTCTACTACAGGGTTAAATCCTTGATTTGTGACTACAAATTGAGCCCCAAATTTCTATTGCCCAGCGAGACGGTTGTTGAGCTCATTTCGTCCCACGTTATGACCGCTCTTGCTTCAGTTAAGTGAATCACTGCAGTCGTTAAGTAAACACGGGGCACAGGTAACAAAAAGGGGACCTTGGGACACAGCAACGGTCGTAAGTAGGAACCAGTTGCCGAGCACCTGAATTTTGATCACCTGATCACGGGGATGCTTCAAAGGTAGGTAGTAGAAAAGGGTCGTTTTTTTTCAGGGCCATCGTAACTTTGAAGCATCGCTAAATGAACTTTGGAAATCGAGGACTGCGTGTATATTAGAAGAACACGTCCTGCAGAAATTTTTATAGAAATATGTTTCCAACTTCCTCCGGGCCAAGCAGTCTAAAAGCAGGGGTCTCCAACCTTGGCAACTTGAGGCCTGGTGGATTTCAACTCCCAGAATTCCCCAGCCAGCAAAGCTGGCTGGGGAATTCTGGGAGTTGAAGTCCATCCATCTCCAAGCAATCTGGTTGAAAAGCACTGTGCTAGACAAAATCATCTATTTCCTTCACCAAACGTAGTCCTTGAGTTACAGCCACAATTGAGCCCCAAACTTCTGTGCAGCGAGACATTGGTTAAGCGGCTTTTGTCCCATTTTACGACTTTTTTTTGGGGGGGGGCTTGTTAAGTGAATTGCTGCAGTGGATAAGTTCATAACCTAGTCATTAAGCAAATCCAGCTTACCCCCTGTTGATGTTACCAGCCAGGCTACAACGGAGCCCCCCAAAAATCTCATCGTTCAGTGCCGGAGCGCCGTTACCATCCCACCGAAATGGTATCCATTTATCTACTCGCATTTGCAGGCTTTTCGAACTGCTAGGTTGGGAGCGAACGGACCTGAGCTGCTGTCGTTCCAGCCGACAAACTCGAGTGGTCTTTAACCGTCGTCCCTCTTAGAGGAGGACTCGCATCAAAATGGAAGACGGGAAGAACCGGTTGTGCCTTTCGTTATCCCTCCCTCCCTCCTGGCTTCACTCCCGCCTCTTTTTGACTGACATCTGTCAAAACAGCATCCATTTTCTGCCAGTGTCGCTCATGCAACCCTGGAAGGTTCTGACCTCCAGCAAAGTTGGGATCTGCTTAGTCCTCCTTTCCTTTTTCCCAAAGCAACCCCTTCTCTAACATGAGATGTAAAAGGTGTTAGGAATAACAAGGTTACCTAACGTAGTTTGGGTAAAATAATATATATAAACTTTGATAGTAAGTTTAAGTGGGTGTCACTTTAAACTGCAAAGCATGTAATTTTTGGGTGCAGTGTGAAACCGCCATAAGAGGGAGCAAGAGAACCTGCTAGATTGCTGACGATTCCTGACGATTGACCCGTTTGATGAATTGATGGTTTGTTAACTGCTGAGTTGCTGAATGTCGAAGGAGGAAAGGAGGTTTGACTTCTTCATATCTCTACTGCAAGGAGATATATTACTGGACTGATATTTGTAAGTTTACTGACCTCTTTTTTTCGACACTGGACTTTGCAACCGAATAATCCCCGGACGGACTGAACTAGTGAGTGATATATGGACTGTTTTGACTATGCTAAAACTCTTACTGGAATAAACTATTTAACTAGCATAGTGTATCTGTTTTACTGAGTGTAAGCTACAAAAACGTTTATCTCACATATTTTGCCTGACTGCCGTGCAGATTCTGCTAGGGTGTCTCCCTAACAAAAGGCAATATCCAGAATTGACCGCTGTCATCTCCAGAGGGAATCAGCCCATGGAGTCCCACTGCCAAAGGGTTCGGCTCACCTGGAAAACTTTGTTCTGCACCTTAATTTTCCGGTATTTCTCCTCTTCCGGATGGAGATGGATATTGTCCAGATACCTGGGAAGGAAAGGCAATAAAGGCTGTGAAGCAGGGGTTGGACTAGAAGACCTCCAAGATCCCTCTTGCTCTTCTTTTGTCTCCCATTTCTGACTAAGTCCGATTCCATGATATACAAATGGTATCTTCGCTCATTCTGGTTTGCGTTTACCAGAAAAACGCACCGGACTTGGGAGTATCTTACAGAGCTAGTCCTCGACGTACAACCAAGATTGAGCCCAAAATTTCTGTTGCTAAATGAAACATTGGTTAAGTGAGTTTTGCCCCATTTTTATGACCTTTCCTGGCCAGAGTTGTTCAGTGGATCGCCGCAGCTGTTAAAATTAGGAACATAAAGTGAATCTGGCTTTCTCCGTTGATCCTGCTTTGTCAGATGGTCGCCAAAGCGGATCACGTGACCCCCCAGGACACCGCAGCCATCATAAAGACGAATCAGTGGCCGAGGGTCTGAATTTGGGTCCCGTGACACCACGGGGACACTGCAGCCGTTGTAAGTTGTGTAAAGAAATCCTAAGTCACCTTTTCAATGCCGTTGAAAACTTTGAACAGTCACTAAAGGAAACGTGGAGGATCATCCGTATTTCCTGCAACGGATCATTGCAGAAAAAGCTTGGGTGCTGATGGCCTATTTTTCCCATTGAGATCTTGACACCTAACATCAAAAACACCATCAGAAAAGCACCACAAAGAATGTTCTTTCTGCGCCAACTCAGGAAGCTCAAACTGCCCAAGGAGCTGCTGATCCAGATCTACAGAGGAATCATTGAGTCTGTCATCTGCACCTCTTATAACCGTCTGGTTTGGTCCTGCAACCCAACAGGACAGACACAGACTCCAGAGAGGAATTAGGATTGTAGAAAAAACAGTGGCTGCCAACCTGCCTTCCATGGAGGACCTGTGTCCTGCAGGAGTCAAAAAGAAGCCTGGGAAAATATCTACACACCCCTCACATCCCGGACATAAACTGTTTCAACTCCTACCCTCCAAACGACGCTATAGAGCCCTGCACACCAGAACAACTAGACACAAGGACAGTTTTCCCCCCAAACGCCATCACTCTGCTAAACAAATAATTCCCTCAACACTGTCCAACTATTTACAAAGTCTGCATTACTATTACTATTAATCTTCTCATCACTCCTTATCACCCATCCCCTCCCACTTGTGACTGTAGGACTGTAACTTTGTCGCTGGTATCCTTATGATTTATATTGATTATTTCCTAGTATGATTTGATGGCTTATTGTACCTATCATTAAGTGTTGTACCTGATGATTCCTGACTCTTGACGAATGTCTCTTTTCTTTTATGTGCACTGAGAGCATTTGCACCAAGACCAATTCTTTGTGTGTCCAACCACACTTGGCCAATAATTAGTTAATTAATCCAGAGTGTGGTACGCTGGCCTCATGGTGGAGCTCTCGCCTCACCATCAGGAGGCTGTGAGTTCGATCCTGGGTAGAGGCAGATATTTCACTCTCTCTGGGCGCGATGAGAATATATCTGCTGCATATAACTCTGCCCTGGCAAGAGGAAGGGCATCCGGCCAGGAAACTCTCAGTTCCATTCCGTGGCTCAGATTCAACCCTGCGAGGGATTATGGGGGGTCATTAAAAAAGGACAATAGATATGGCCTGTTCCTCTCCCATCTTTTAGCAATCCCTGGAATCAAACCACAATTAAGAGCTTAAGAACGGCCAGCCAAGGAAGGGGAAATTTCTGAAGCCAACGCAGGCCACACCGCCTACTTTACGATGGTCTCCACGCCGAGTTTGACCTTCTCCCGGTCCCTGTTGAACGTATGGATCTGCATGACGGAGGAGGCCACGGGATCTCTGGCAGCGTGCTGGAGGAGGAAGAGGAAGAAGAGACGGTGAGACAAGGAACCGGCGGAGGTTCTCCCACAATCCTCCGGAGGACCGAGCTCTACCTCAAGGATGGCGTTTCTGATCTGCGCCTCTCTTTTGTCTTTTCGGACGGTGACACCGGTCAACGGGCAAGTGAAGTAGACGCCTGAGACGGACAGGGTGGAAGGGTCTTCTTCGACATCAGGCAAGGAATTCTAACCCCCCAAAAAGAAAAGAAAGAGGAATTAAATTAGAACGTTTCTCGACCTGGGGAACTTGGAGACGACTGGACTTCAACTCCCAGAATTCCCCCACCCAGCGACGCAAAAAGAGTGAAGGATCCCTAGCTGAGGGAGTTAGAAACCATAGGTGAGGGTTTGACTTTTTTCTCCAAGGGGACCCCGGGGAGGTTGCCATGGTCATAAGTGTGATCAAATAGTCATAAGTGGCTTTCTTCCCTGCTGTTGTAATTTCAAACACTCACTAAACCAAGGGCCTTCAAACTTGGCAAGTTTGAAGACTTGTGGACTTAAAACTCCCAGAATTCCTGAGCTAACATGACTGGAGGAGGAATTCTGGGAGTTGAAGTCCACAAGTCTTAAAGCTTTCAAGGGGTCTTCAACGTCGGCCAATTTAAGACTTGTGGACTTCAACTCCCAGAATTCCTGAGCTAACATGACTGGAGGAGGGATTCTGGGAGTTGAAGTCCACAAGTCTTAAAGCTGTCAAGGGGTCTTCAACGTTGGCCATTTTAAGACTTGTGGGCTTCAACTCCCAGAATTCCTGAGCTAACATGACTGGAGGAGGGATTCTGGGAGTTGAAGTCCACAAGTCTTAAAGCTGTCAAGGGGTCTTCAACGTCGACCATTTTAAGACTTGTGGCCTTCAACTCCCAGAATTCCTGAGCTAACATGACTGGAGGAGGGATTCTGGGAGTTGAAGTCCACAAGTCTTAAAGCTGTCAAGTTTGAAGACCCCTGCTCTAAACAAATGAATATTACGCGTGAAGTGTTAGTGCTACTTTATAACGCTTTGGTAACGCTGCATCCAGTTTTGCCCACCACACTATAAAAAAAGATGTTGAGACTCTAGAAAAAGGGCAGAGAAGAGCAACCAGGATGATGAGGGGACTGGAGATTAAAACATATGAAGAACGGGTACAGGAACTGGGCCTGGCTAGTCTAGGGAAGAGAAGGACCGGGGGAGACATGATAGCGGTCTTCCAATATTTGAGGAGGGGCTGCCACAGAGAGGAGGAAGGGGTCAAGCTATTCTCCAAAGCACTCAAAGGCCAGACAAGGAACAATGGATGGAAACTGAACAAGGATTCTATCTAGAAATAAGGAGAAACTTTCCAGACAGGGAGAACCATCAACCAATGGAACAGAAGTTGCCTTCAGAAGTTGTGGGAGCTTCATCACTGGAAGCTTTCAAGAAGAGACTGGATTTGCCCTCTGTCAGAAATAGTGCAGGGTCTCCTGCCTGAGCAGGGGGTTGGACTATAAGACCTCCAGGGTCCCTTTCAACTCTTGTTCTTCTATGGGCTACCTGTCATCCTGGCCTTCCAACCTTCACATAGTACAAAACTTGATCCTGCTTCCCAGGAATCGTGCCCACTGTGAGTGGAGGCCTCAAGATACAGGGTTAGAACAGAACAGAACAAAATACTTTATGGGCAACGTGTGATTGGACACACAAGGAATTTGTCTTCGGTTCAAATGCTCTCAGTGTACATAAAAGATACATTCATCAAGAGTCGAGAACCATCAGGTCCAACACTTAATGATAGTCTTAGGCTACAATAAACAATCAAATCATACTAGGAAACAGTCAATATAAATCATAAGGATACCAGCGACAAAGTTACAGTCCTACAGTCACAAGTGGAAGGGGATGGGTGATAAGAGTGATGAGAAGATTAATAGTAATAGTAGTGCAGACTTTGTAAATAGTTGGACAGTGTTGAGGGAATTACTGTTTAGCAGAGTGATGGCGTTTGGGGAAAAACTGTCCTTGTGTCTAGTTGTTCTGGTGTGCAGGGCTCTATAACGTCATTCTGAGGGTAGGAGTTGGAACCGTTTATGTCCGGGATGTGAGGGGTCTGTAGATATTATCACAGCCCTCTTTTTGACTCCGGCAGGACACAGGTCCTCCATGGAAGGCAGGTTGGTAGTAAGCTGCAAATTGAGAGCTGCAAGCTGTCCCACCTTGGCCTAGCCTACTAGGATGACCTGGATCAGCAATAGGTCTCTGCTTCTAGAGTGGAGAAGCTGTACTCTTGAGGTACTCTGGAGATACCTCCCTTCCGCACGCAAATGAGGCGTCTCTTCCCACCTTAACCCCCTAAACAACGTGAATGCCTCCTACTCAACCACCTAGGTCCTAGGCCATTCTACGGCGGGGCCCATCAAAACAAGGCACAGTCATTCTCTCTCTTTTCGTACCTTCTGGTCCACAGGTAGCCCCTTATCGCTTGCAGCCGCCTCAGCCATCAGCTCCTTTTTCACTGAGGCACCAAAAAAAAAAAAAAAAAGGAAAGAAAGGAAAAAGGAAAGAAGCTGATGAATAACAAGATTTAAAATGGAGGGAGCAAAGACAGTAAGTCCTCAAGTTACGACCACAACAGGGAGCAGAATTTCCCTGGCTAAGCGAGGCAATCGTCGGGCGAGTCGTGGTCTGATTTTGCCTCCTTTTTTGGGGGGGGGGGAATGCAGTTGTTAAGCAAATCAGTGCAGTTGTTAAGTGAACCGCGAGGTCGTTAAGCAAATCCGGCTTCCCTCGTTGACGTGGCTTGTTGGAAGCCAGTTGGGAAGGCAATCATGGTTGATGACACCCAGGTGCTTCATTGGAAAATGTGATTTATGACACGTGTTAGGAATAACATAGGTTACCTAACGTAGTTTGGGTAAAATAATATATATATAAACTATGATAGTAAGTTTAAGTGTGTGTCACTTTAAACTGCAAAGCATGTAATTTTGGGTGCGGTGTTGAACCGCCATAAGAGGGAGCAAGAGAACCTGATTGATTGCTGACGATTGCTGGTTTGATGGATTGATGGTTTGCTAACTGCGTGTTTTCTCTACTGCTAAGTTGCTGAAGGAAGAGAGGAGTTTTGACTTCTTCATATCTCTACTGCGAGGAGATATATTCCTGGACTGATATTTGTAAGTTTACTGACCTCTTTTTCGACACTAGACTTTGCAACTGAATAATCCCTGGACAGACTGAACTAGTGAATGATATATGGACTGTTTTGACTATGCTAAAACTCTTGCTGGAATAAACTATTTAACTAGCACGGTGTATCTGTTTTACTGAGTGCAAGCGACAAAAACGTTTATCTCACATATTTTGCCTGCCTGCCTGACTGCCGTGCAGATTCTGCTAGGGTGTCTCCCTAACAACACGGCCGGGGGGAAGGGGGGGAAACAGGATGACAGGTGACGGTGAATTACGTATGCCAGGTGTTGGCTTCATTTAGGTTAATGCCGACATGTTGCTCCTAAGAAATCTCTCAGATTCTTTTGAAGTTTGGCTCAAGGCTCATGATGTAATTAGGGCAATCGCTGGAACCCTGACAGCAACAGTTGCAAGTGCGAGGACTGATCAGGAGTCCCCTTTTTCAATGCCACTTTTAACTCCGAATGGTCACTAAGGGAATGGCTTTAAGTCAAAGACTACCTATTACAGCTAGCTCTTGACTTACGACCACAATGAAGCCCAAATCTTCTGTTGCTGAGTGAGACATTTGTTAAGTGAATTTTGCCCAATGTTACCACCTCTCTTGCCACCCTGGTCAAGGGAATCCCTTCAGTTAGTGACACGGTTGTTAAGTGAATCTGGCTTCCCCATTGACTTCGCTTGTCAGAAGTTTGTAATAAATACATGTTAGTTGCCAAGCGTCCCAATTTTGATCGCATGAGCAAAGGTCGTAAGGGTGAAAGCTGGTCATAAGTCACTTTTTTCCTGTGCCATGATGGCACAGTGGTTAGAAGGCAGTATTGCAGGCTAATTCTGTCAAGTGCCAGCGGTTCAATTTTGACAGGGCTCAAGACTTGACTCAGCCTTCTGTTCTTCCAAGGTGGGTAAAATGAGGGGCCCGATTGTTTGGGCAGGGGGGGGGGGGAGGCTGACTTTGTAAACCGCTGAGAGGGCTGTAGAAGCACTGTGAAGCGGTATATAAGTCTAAGTGCTGCTATTGCTGTCATCTCTCTGTCTCTTTTCTGTGTATCTCACATCTCTAGCTGCTGTTGATGTACAATCTACCTACCGTATCTACCCATCTACAATCTCTCTCTGGGCCCTGGTGGCGCAGTGATTAGGATGCAGGATTGCTAGCTAACTCCGCTCACTGCCTGGAGTTCGATCCTGATCAGCTCAAGTTTAACTCAGCCTTCTGTCCTTCCAGAGTCGGTAAAAATGAGAACTGTTAGGTATAACATAGGTCATCTAACGTAGTTTGGGTAAAATAATATATATAAGCTATGATTGTTAGTTTAAGTGTGTGTCACTTTAACTGCAAAGCATGTAATTTTGGGTGTGGTGTGAAACCACCATAAGAGGGAGCAAGAGAACCTGATTGATTGCTGACGATTCCCTGACGGTCTGCTGGCAATTACTGACAATTACTGGATTGGATTACATTGATGGTTTGTTAGCTGCGTTTCCCCTACTGAAGAATTGCTGATAAGAAGAGAGGAGTTTTTGAGTTCTTCATATCTCTCTACTGCGAGGAGATATATCACCGGACTGATATTTTGTAAGTGTACTGACCTCTCTTTTTCGACACTGGAATTTGCAACTGAATAATCCCTGGACGGACTGAACTAAGTGAATGATATATGGACTGTTTTGACTATGCTTTAACTCTTGCTGGAATAAAACTATTTAATAGGCACTGTGTATCTGGTTTACTGAGTGTAAGCTACAAAAACACTTATCTCACATATTTTGCCTGCCTGCCTGCCTGCCCTGCAGATCCTGCTAGGGGTGTATCCCTAACAAGAACCTCGACTGTTGGGGGGGAACCATAGGCTGACCCTGTGAAACCGCTTAGAGAGGGGCTGCAAAGCACCGTGTAAGTCTAAGTGGTCGAAGCGCTATTTCCCTTTGAACGATGGGGTCAAGGACTAGTTTTATTTCCTACACCTCTTCACGCCTGCAGATAAATGCCTGCTGAGAGATCCCGTCAACCAGGGTGAAAGCAGGCCAAGGTTTTGCCAACCGCTTCCGGACCAGGTCCTGGGAAAGATTTCAGCTGCTGTAATCCTTCTGTAATCCGGCAGCAGCTGAAATCCTTTGGCGGTTGTAGCCTCGTCTTTAAAAAGCCTCCTCTGAACATGTTTACCCTGATTCCGGATGGCGTCTTGCGACGAGGGAGGGCGGGGTTTGGGCTTCTGTTCCAAGCGGGCCAAAGCGGCGGCGGCGGCCATCTGAGCTTCGTTGGTGGGCCCTTGGCGACATTTGGCGGCGTCCGGTTTGGGTTTCTCTTTGGTGGGTTTTTCCCTGTTGGAAAACAAGGGGATAGGCAGAGGTCAGGCGCTTAGGGGTCAACCCACCAAGTGCTGGGGTCATTCTGAATGGGGGTCACTGTTCTTACATCACAGGTAGTCCTCGACTCGCATCCACAGCCGAGCCCCAACATTGCTACGGCTGAGACGTTTGTTAGGGGAATTCTGCCCCGGTTTTATGACCTTCCTTGCCGGGGTTCTTAGGCGAAGCACTGCTGTGGTTCAGTTAGCGACACGTTGGTTAAGCGAATCTGGCCTGTCAGATGGTCACCAAAGGGATCACGTAACCTTGGCAGACTCAACCGTCGTAAGGATGAATCGGCTGCCAAGGGTCCGAACTTTGACACACGTGATCGTGAGGATGGTGCGATGGTTATAAGTGTGTGGGGGGAAAAGTACGTAAGTTCCTTTTTTCAGGGCCGTTGTAACTTTCAACAGTCATTAAAAGAACTGTTGTCAGTCTGGGACTACCTGTACAACAATTTCCTTTCCACCTCCTTCTACGGCATTGAGAAAAAGATCCTCGCTTTAACATCCCTCGAGGAAATAATTCAAAATAAATAAAAAATATGTCCCATTGTATCTCTGCTAATGCAGGACGATGTCTCCTCCTCCTTCAGCGAAGAAGAGGGGGACGTTCAGCAGATCCGCCAGAAGGAAAATCTCTGAAGGGGTTCAGAGCCCCGACAGGGTTCAAACCCTCCACATTGTCCACAAGACAACAATGTTGTTGTTACTGGCCTCCCACTCATGGATTATCTCTTTTGCCCCAAAGTTCAGCAAAAACCAGAGCTTGAAAACTATCTTGACAGAGACCAAGCCAAGTTCAAAAACGCTACATGATTCCTGGAGTGCCTGGCGATCAGCCATCAACAGACACACAGAGATAAACAACAGCTACACCCCATTGGAAAGAGAGTCAAACAGCTAAAAAGGCAGCAAAAAGACCAAGGCGCCCTTCTCACCAGCAATCAACACCCAAATAAGCAAGATTGCACACCAAGATTCATACTGGAATCAACAGTCAAGCAGTAAACAACGCCCCGAAGAACTACCAACTCAATCAAGCCGCAAACAACAGCCTAGTCAAGAAACTGCCAAGGACGCTTCCACCCACATTGATAAAGTAAGCCACTGGCATATAAACAGAGAGCGCACTCCCCTTCCTTCTATAGCATGCATTATGTGCCCTAGTCGGGTCGTGAAACGTCTGCAAGAAAACCTCCAAGCTCAGAGAGCACACTTAGGATCCCACAGTCGTCTCCCCTTCCTCCTCCTCCTCCTCCTCCACTTCACAGATCACACTCCCTTCTAGCACGGATTCGGTTACCTAGCCGAGTCATGAAAAATCTGCAAGGAAACAGCCAAGCTCAGAGGGCACCAAAGACCCCCCTCGGTTCAATCCTGAGCTATAAATATTCTCCTTTCAGGGAAAAATCTGGTGGGAGAACTCCATGATATGGGGCTGAATTCTCCATTTCCCTTCCCCTTTTCGTAGTCCGTGGACTGGCACCGGTCTGTGCCATGCCAGAAACTGGGCCGCGCAAACAAGCCCCATCTGTGGGATGCAGGAAGCACCCCCTCCGGTGCACGGGAAAAAACCTCCTTCCATGGAACTGGTCCCTGGTGCTCAAAAGGCTGGAGACCACTGCCATCCTCCTCCTCCTCCTCCTTGTCTTCCTTCTCCCCCTTCTCCTTCTCCTTTTTTCTTCGCCCTCCTCTCTGTAAACCCCAACCCTTTTTCCTTGCACTGAGGATGTTCCCTACTTTGGGTCACGAAACGTCTGCAAGGAAACAACCAAGCTCAGAGTGCAGCACCAAGGACCCCTATAGTTCAACCCTGAGCTACAAAGACCCCACTTGGGGGTGTTGCATCCAGTTCTGGTCACCAGCATATTAAAAAAAGGATATTGAGACTCTGGAAAGAGTGCAGAGGAGAGCAACAAAGGTGACTAGGGGGCTGGAGGCTAAAACATACAAAGAACAGGAACTGGGTATGTCTAGTTTAATGAAAAGGAGGACTAGGGGAGACATGATAGTAGCTTTCCCATATCGGAGGGGCTCCTGTTAGGAATATAAGTCACCTAACAGGTATTTGGGTTAGAAATATATAAACCAGGATAAACATTTTAGTACTATATCTTTAAGGGAATGCAAGAGCATTGAATTGGGTGTGGTTTCTCAGCCATAAGATGGAGTCAGAAACCTGGGTTGTTTCAGTCTTAGTCTCAGAAGAGAGTGTGAGTGTATCTCTGTTTCCTTCTGTTGGAAAGTATTGCCGTTGCTCCATTTCTTCTAATTGACTGATATTACTGAATTTAATGTAAGTCTGATACTAAACTGTTTTTGACACTGGAATTTGATATTTGGATTATTCCTGGATTGAAAACTGACTGGTTTTACCTGTGAATGACTTTGGACTGCCTATTTTGGACTTTGCTTAACATTTCTGGAAGTAAAAACCTATATTTACTGTACAGTGTATCTGTATACTGTGTGTGTATTATTCAAACACTTCTCTCAAATACGTCTCCCTGTATGCGCTTATTCTCTTAACAGGGAATTACCTCAACACTGGTTATGGGCCCAGGCCATACCAGGCTCAGATAACTGAGAGTTAGTGTGAATGCACAGAACTGTATACAGACAGCTGTTTACTGTTTAATTGTGGTTTACTATCCTGGTAAAGATGGCACAAGACACTTCAACAAGTCTATCGCTCATAACCCGGTTGGATGGAACAAACTATGTTTCCTGGTCTGTGAAGTGCAGTCTACTTCTGTGCAGAGAAGGTTTATGGAATGTAGTTCAAGATTCACCAGATGTAAATGCTTGGGATCCAGAAAATGAGGATGATGCCAAGAAGCTTGCTGACTTTAAACAGAACAACGAACGAGCTCTTTGTATAATTGGACTAACACTGAGTGACCAGTAGCTAGTCCATATTCGTGGAGAAGAGTCTGCTGCTAGGTGTTGGGAGAATTTGAAGAGGATTTATGTTTGTGACAGTATAGGTGCACACATACATCTTACACGTAAACTGTTTAGAGCATGTCTTCTGAAAGGTGGAGATATGTTAGCTCATTTAAACTTCATGAAAAGAACTTTTCAAGAGCTACATGAAAAAGAACTGATATTTTCAGAGCTGCATCAAGTTTACATCATTCTTTCCTCATTGGATGAAAGTTATGATGATTATGTATCTTCACTGGAAGTCCTGCCCAGAGATAAACTGACATTGACTGAAATAACTGGAAGATTGTTGGAAGAAGCAAGAAGACAGTGGATAGGGACTAACTGAGAAAGGAACAACCACAAGAAGAGAATTTGTGTTCAACTGCCTATACTGTTAGGAAATGTTTTTCTTGTGGGGCTAGGGGACATATAGCTAAATTCTCTAAGAAAAGAAAAAGACAGATTACTGGCAAACACCAGAAGGCTAAGAAGAATGTTAGTTTAGCTATGTCTAGCAATTCACCTGTAAACCATGATTTGTGGGTTGTTGATAGTGGAGCATCGCAATGCATTACTAAAGATAGAAACAGGTTTGTAAAGATGTCCACAAGTAAACAACATGTATCATTGGTAAATGGATGGAAGATGAAAGCATCAGGTGAAGGTACTGCATATTGTTCTTGTATAAACGAACATTTAACTATGTTATATGTACCTAAACTGAAATTTAATTTGTTATCAGTAAGGACTTTAGTTAATCTTGGTAATGTAGTAACCTTTAGGGGAGATAACTGTATAATGGAGAAAGAGGGTAAAAGTGTTACTGCTAATTTAGAGAATGATTTATATGTGATACATGATGACCAGCTGAAGATGGCTAACTCAGTTTATAACAATGTTAAGTCACATGATGAATGTATACATTTACTTTATAGACATCTAGGGCACATTTATTTCAAAATGCTCAAACTGTTGAATTGTCAGAGGGAGTAAAAGTGAAACCTTGTAGCAAGTATTTACACTGTAATGCTTGTAGTCAAGAAAAGAGTAAGGTTACTCCAGCAAACAGACTAAATGGGTTTAAGACCAAAGAACCTTTAGAGGTTGTTTTTGCTGACATAATTGGTCCTAAGAAACCAAGTTTAGGAGGTGCCTGTTATATTTTGAGTATTATGGACCATTACTCAGGATACGGTTTCTGCTATCTGATGAAAAACAAAACAGAAACATTCCAACATTTCTTTAACTGGCTAAGGTTTGCTGAGAGAAAAATGAAAAGTAAAGTAATTACTTTAGTTACTGATAATGGGACTGAATTTGTTAACAAAAGATTCCAAACAATGTTGAAATTGGCTGGTGTTGAGCATAAACGTTCTGCACCTTACAGACCACAACATAACTCGTTTATAGAACGAAGGGGGCAAACATTACAAGCCATGGCTCGCACTATGTTATCGGATTCAGGTTTACCTGAAACACTGTGGGGTGAAGCCATAATGTGTAGTAACCATGTTTTAAACAATGTAGTAAATACAACAACTGGAGAATTGCCATTCACTCGTCGGCATGGCAGAAAACCAAATTTAAGTTTACCTACACACATTTGGAGCTCCAGCATGGGTGCATATTCCCTCACAAGTAAAACTGAAAGGGCAACATAGAGCTAAGAAGTTATTTTTTGTGGGTTATGAGGCCAACCATAGATCATTTAGATTCTGGGATCAAAGCACAGCTCATGTTTATTGTAGTGCTAGTGCAAAATTTCCAGAGCACGTTGGGTGGGATAAACTGGAAGAGGAATCCAACAATGATATTATTATTGACACCCAAATACTCCCTAAAGATGATATCAGTAAACAACAAATAGCCATTAAAGAGGAAGAACAGGAAGAAGTAGGAGAACAGGCACAGGAAGAGGTAGAAGAACAGGAGCAGGTGGCACAGGAAAGTCCACCAGTAAGCCCTATATTACCAAGATGTTCAACCCGTGTAACACGACCACCTGATAGATATCAGGCTAGTATTGTATGCCAAGTGAATACAGTTCCAAGTAACTATAGTGAACTAAAACTGCATCCTGCTAAGGATCAGGCTGCTTGGCAGAAAGCAATGGATAAGGAACTGGAATCATTAAAAAGACTGGAGGTATACGAAAATGTTAAGTTACCACCAGGTAAACATGCCATAGGATGTAAATGGATATATAAACTTAAGACAGGTGTGGGTGGGACTGTTACCCATAAAGCTAGGTTAGTAGCACAAGGGTTTAATCAGACAACAAATGACTAAGATGAGGTGTTTGCACCTAGTCTGAAGGCTACTACATTAAGGGCAGCATTAGTGTGGGCAGCTAAAGAGAAACACATTGTAAATCATTTGGATGTAGAGACAGCATATCTGCATGCACCGTTGCAACACGTTATATATTTAAAGAAACCTTTAGGTATTAAAAATGATAATACAGATAATTGCTGGAAATTGAAAAAGAGTCTTTATGGTTTGAAGCAATCAGGAAATGAGTGGAACCAATGTATAGTTAAAGAATTAACTAAGATAGGTTTTGTAGCTGGCATGGCTGATCCATGTTTGTTTAAAAAGGAAAGTAATGGTATAGTGTCATTATTGTTATTATTTACTGATGACATAGCACTAATCACCAAAACTGAACAAGAAGCTACTGAGATAATTTCACTATTGGAAAAGAAATTTAAGATAAAACGGTTAGGAGAAATCAAACATTATCTTGGTTTAAAGATAGATAGAACTAGAGGAGGATACAAGATCTCACAAGCAGAGAAAATTAACCAGTTACATTTATCAGTCTTTGATTGGTAGTTTATCGTATCTCAGTAATTGGTCAAGGCCAGATATTGCATACTGTGTTAATCAATTAGCGAGATTTAACGCTGAGCCCACTGAAAGGCACTGGCAAGCTGCTAAACGTGTGTTAAGATATCTGAAACAAACAATGCATTATGCATTGTATTTGGAGCCTAAAGATGAACTGAATTTGACTGCATATGCTGATGCAAGTTTTGCTACAGACATAAAAACACGAAAATCTACATCGGGTACTGCTGTATTATTTGGGAAAAGCCTTGATTGGATGGAGGTCTATTAGACAGAAACATCTAAGTTTGCCAACAATGGAGGCTGAATTCTCATGTTTGTCTTTACTATGTACAGATTTAGTTTTGCATAAGCAATGATTAATCGATATAGGAATTAATGTAACAGATTCTATTGTAGTTTACGAAGATAACCAATCAGCAATACAGATGGCTTCAAATACTGCTGTTAAAACAAGAATGAAACACACAGATTTAAGATATCTAAATGTGAGACAATGTGTGCAAAGTAAGTTGATTAAGCTGGAATACTGTATGTCAGAAAACAATATAGCAGATCATTTTACAAAGGCCCAAGGCTCTATAAAGCATAAGGCTAGCTGTGAAGATTATGGACTTAGAATGTAAGGTTATTATCTTACCCCAAAGGGGAGAACGTTAGGAATATAAGTCACCTAACAGGTATTTGGGTTAGAAATATATAAACCAGGATAAACATTTTAGTACTATATCTTTAAGAGAATGCAAGAGCATGCAATTGGGTGTGGTTTCTCAAACAGCCATAAGATGGAGCTAGAAACCTAGGTTGTTTCAGTCTTAGTCTCAGAAGAGAGTGTGTCTGAGTGAATGTCTCTGTTTCCTTCTGTTGGAAAGTATTGCCGTTGCTCCATTTCTTCTAATTGACTGATATTAATGGATTTAATGTAAGTCTGATACTGAACTGTTTTTGACACTGGAATTTGATATTTGGATTATCCCTGGATTGAAAACTGACTGATTTTACCTGTGAATGACTTTGGATTGCTTATTTTGGACTTTGCTTAACGTTTCTGGAAGTAAAAACCTACATTTACTGTACAGTGTATCTGTGTGCTCTGTGTGTATTATTCAAACACTTCTCTCAAATACGTCTCCCTGTATGCGCTCATTCTCCTAATGGGGAATTACCTCAACAGCTCCTACAAAGAGGAGGGGGTCCATAGCACCAGAAGGCAGGACAAGAAGCAACGGATGGAAATTGTTACCAAGGAGAGAACCAACTTGGAATTAATGAGAAACTTCCTAACAGTGAGAACAATTAACCAATGGGACAGCTTACCTCCAGAAGTTGGAGGTTTTTAAGAAGAGATTGGATAACCGTTTATCTAAAATGGTTATAGGGTTCTCCTGCTTTAGCAGGGGGTTGGACTAGAAGACCTCCAAGGTCCTTTCCAACTCTATCATTAGTCTATTCCAAAGAGAAAAGGATACAAACCTATTCATATAGAGGGGGTAGTCCCAGGCAAATCACAGGACACTTTCCAGTAACAAATGCAAAGAAATGAACTGAATCACATTGGGGCCCGTGGCTCATTCTGACATACCCAAGCTCAGCAAACAAGCCAATGCAATGTGTGCCCTCCCCGGTGTCACACCTCTCCCTACAGCATCACAAAGGGCCACCCTGTGCAGTCTAGTTTTAAATTCCTAGCAACCCAACACGCCAGCTGGTTTTCTGTCCTCCTTCATAAGGAGGCCACTTACCAAGCATATTTGGGGTCCTGCGTCCCAAAGAGGAAGGAAAAATAGTCATCTCTCTCTCTCTCTCTCTCTCTCCAAATGATTCAATTAAAGTTTAGAAAGAGAAAAGATTAATACAAACTAAGGAAAAAAGAAAAAAAGAAATGGAGAGAGAACATACATAATCTTCTTTCTTTCCACCTCCAACAATAACAACTGTGGGAATTGGGCTGAGAGAGTCACCTAGCCGGCTATGGTGCCTAAGATAGGACTAGAACTCACCATCTCCTGGGGATTGGGCCAAAGTCACCCAGCCGGATTTCATTCCTTACAGTGGTACTAGAATTCCCAGCCTCCGCCCAGTCACCCAGCTAGTTTTTATGCCTAAAATGAGACTAGGACTCAATGCCTCCTGGTGATTGGCTCAAGTCACCCAGCTGACTTTCCTGTCTAAGAAGGGACTAGAATTCACCATCACCTGGTGACTGGCCCAAAGTCACCCAGCTAGCTTCCAGGCCTAAAGCAGGACTAGAACTCACTGTCTCCTGCGGATTGGCTAAAAGTCACCCAGCTGACTTTCCTATCTTAAGAGGGAACTAGAATTCACCATCTCCTAGTGATCAGCTCCAAATCCCCCCCATACCATTTTTATGCCTAAAGCGGGACCGGAAAGGTAGCCCACCATGAATTCAAAAGTGAGAGAAGCTCATTCAGAGTTGCCAGATTTGGTTACTTTAACCTCATAAAAAAACTCCAGGTAGTCCTCCGTTTAACAACTGCCTCATTTTTAGCAACCATCCATAGTTGTGACGGGCATGGAGGCATAAACTTTACAACCCAGCCTACTAGGTCACCCTCCTGATTATCTTCACAGGTCTGTAAAGCACAGGAAAAGTGAAGTCGGTATCATAGGCGGAGCTGCATTTCAGCCAGCAGCTTCTTCACTTAATGACCAAGTTTCCCATCCCAATTGTGGTTGCTAAAGGAGGATTACCTGTAGCTTCAGCATTCATGACTTTGGGGCTTAACTCTGGCCTACCTCAAAGGACCAACTATTGTTAGGTGTTTTATACATACATCACATACACACACACACACACACATTTATTTATTTGTGTGTATTCTTATTAACATTTGAGGGGAGAGGGAGAGAAAGAGACTGGTCATATTTTGATATTTCTAAATTTATTTCTTGCCCCTATGGAGAGTTTGTCCCAAAAGTGCTTTTTCCTCCCCCCCCCCCAAAAAGGCAATTGAACTTTTGGGGGTGGAATTTTTTCTTCCCTCCCTTTTGCAAAACGTTTCGCTTCTCCCATCCAAAGAAGCTTATTCAAAGTTCAGTTTTTACTTCATTATGTCCGCCAAAGTGCAAATGGGTTGGGGTGAGGGGAAGGCAAACGAGTTCAGAGCCAGAATCAGGGAGTGAGCTTCCAATCTGGGTGGTGGAGGGGTGGACTGGGTGACCTCAAGGGGTCCCTCCACCCTTTCCTTCCCCTCCGTCCCCTTAATCCTTTTTTTTTTTTTACTCCGTCCCGCCCACAATCTGTAGTTGGAAGGACCGCAACTCCCAGGGCTGGGAAAGGAGGGAGCCTCGCGGGCGCCAGGTTGGAGAACCAAACGGGACCTTCCCTCTGTTTAGAGTGGGGACGGGTGGGGGGGGCGGTTACCTAGGCGACTCGGTGAGTTTCTGGCCCGGCCCGGCCGTCTTGAACTTCAAATCCGCTTTAATCTCCTGGAAAAACTTCTTCATGGCCGCCTCCCGCCAGCGACCTCCGAAGCTCACCCGAAACAAGCGCAACCCGGCCCCGAAACGGAAAGCGGGGCGGCTCGGCGAGTAAATAACAGGAGGAGGCGGAAGCAGCTGTAGCAGCAAAAACAGGAAACGGAAGCCGCTAACGTAGCTTCCGATCACGTGCCGCCGCCGCCGCTTCTGACGCCATCTTAAGGAGCAATTTCGCGGCCGAGCTCAAAACAGTCAACCCGGCGCTCTAGGCAGGAGGAGGTCCGTTTCTATGGTTTTTTCCAATAAAGCTTATTTTTAAGGTGACCAACTTTTTTTACAACGAAAAGGAGGACGCAAATAAATGGAAGAAAGAAAAAAAAACAAAGCCACTTGCGCGCGATGCACTCTCTCCAAACAATTCTCCTGGGTGGAGCGTGTCTCGCTGCACTGTACCGAGCTTTGACGGATCGTTCATGTCAAATACATCAGATCACGCACAAGGGATCGGATCGTCATCGATCCAAAGACGGAGATTTACAGATTAGTCTTCAAATATCAAAAAGGAGGACATGCAGGAGGACACTTTTTGTGGGAGGACAGAACTTACAAAAGGAGGACTGTCCTCCCTAAAGGAGGACGGTTGGTCACCTGGCTTATTTAAAAATAGAGAAAAAAGCGCTGGGCGTATTTTATTTTTGACTCCTTTCTTTTCTCGTTCTGATTTTATTTGGTGAAACGTCACCCAAGACGGCCAATGTAACATAGTATTCCTCCTTCTATTTTCCCCATAACGACAACCCTGTGCGGTACGCCGAGCTCAGAGAGAGGGACTAGCCCAAAGTCACCCAGCTGGCTTTCATGCTTCAAGCAGGACTAGAATCTTACTTTCCAGGTCAATATTTTAACCACTACGCATAATCCTCGACTTTCAACTGTTCATTTAGTGACCAAACTTACAACGGCACTGAAAAAAGTGTCGTATGACCGTTTTTCACACTTATGACCGTTGTAGCATCCCCCCCCGATCATGTGATCAAAATTTGGAAACTTGGCAATTGGTTCATACTTACGACCGTCACCTTTTGTGCCCTCCTTACAAGCAAAGTCAATGGGGAAGCCAGGTTCACTTCACAACTGCAATGGTTCCCTTAACAACAGTGGCAAGAAAGGCTGTAAAATGGGACAACGCTCTGCTTAACAAAATGTTTTACTTTGAAACACACCTTTTGGACTCCACTGTGTTCGTCACTCCAGGACTATCTGTATGTCAAAACTGGATAATTTCTTCTAATAGCAACCACAAATATACGGACAAGCTTCTGTTGGATGTTAAAACCCACCCCTCTCCTCAAGAATTGAAATATTTTAGGATATATTAAAAAGGCAGAAAAGGTTGACTCTTGCTGGATGATGATGTAACGAAGGGCAATGCCTATTATGGCTCTATCTAGAGGAGGTAGATCTTTGTTATGTAGAATAGACTGGCCGAGGCTTTAATGGCCCATTGACAAAGGGTGGGGTTGAGGGCTGAGTTTCTGCCTCTCTGAGTTTATTTCCCTTAAAAGAGAAGTAGACACTCAGAGAGGCAGAAACTCAGCCCCCAACCCCACCCTTTGTCAATGGGCCATTAAAGCCTCGGCCAGTCTATTCTACATAACACAGATCTACCTCCTTCAGATGGAGCCAACCCTGGGACTACAAAGTTTTGCATGGCTCCATGGGAGTCTGACAACAAATCAGAACGCAAACTCAAATTCAAAGCCCAACAGAGGGCATAAAACCCAGCCGCTCTCAGCATCTTCTCTTCCCTTTTTCATCGCCCAAGAACTCCAAGGCATGTGATCCTGTCCACCATTAAACCATCTTTCCAAGCAACTTCCATGATGGCAGAGTCTTTTTTTCCCCACTTGGAACTGAAGGATGTTTCTTCCAACACTTCTTAATTGCCCTGGGTGTGAGTCACTTACGCGTGAGTTCGGTGACTACAAAATTTGTTTTTAAGAAATAAAATAATGATTGGATTCACATGCAGGTAGTCTTCGATGTGCAACTGTTTGCTTAGCGACGATTGAAGTTACAAATGGCATTGGAAAAAAAAAGTAATTTTACACTTATGACCGTTTTCACACTTATGACCACTGCAGCCTCCCCATGGTAATGTGATCAAAATTGAGACGTTTGGCAACTGATTCCTATTTATGACTTTTGCTGTGTCCCAGTGTCATGTGAACCCCCTTTGTGACCGTCTGACCAGCAGTGGAGAAGTCCGATTCACTTAACAATGAGTTTATTAACTTACCAACTGCAAGTGATTCGCTTAACAACTGAGGCAAAAAAAAAGCTCATAAAACGGGACAAAACTCACTTAACCAGCGTCTCACTTAACAACAGGAAAGTTGGGCTCCATTTTGGTCGTAAGTGGAGGAAAACCATTTTCCCTTTTGTTATTTTCCCAATCCAGCTGTCGTTTTGCAGTTTCGTTTTAAAGAGGTACAAATAGGATGAGGGGCAGCCGGGGGCTATGTGCCCAGATGCCAGTCTCCCAACGGGGCTTATTTGGTGCCCACCTGGCATGAGAGCCGAGGTTGGCTATTCCAATTTGTGTGCCAGGGAGATGGGCTCAGCCTGCAAACTGTAGTATATTTAACTAAGTCGTTTCCATCCAGAAGGAAGAAGAAGCCAGAAAACCGGTTGGGCAATGTCAAAGATATTTCCTAGGCTTTTCTGGGCTTTGTTCTTCCTCTCCTTTGCCACCTCCTGGGTAAACAAAGGAAAATGTCCTTTCCACAGCCCGGAGCAAGTTTTGCTGTGGGTGTGGAGGCCACCAGGGGAAGCCATTATCAACTTCGCACCCTCAGGGTCTGTGAGCAGCAAGCCGGCTTCTGCTACGGATGTTAGTCAGGCCCCGATCATGGGCCAGGATTAACTGTCTGGTTTGGCTCTGCAACCCAACAAGACAGACGCAGACTTCAATGGATAATTAGAACTGCAGAAAAAACAATGGCTACCAACCTGCCTTCCATGGAGGGCCTGTATACTGCACGAGTCAAAAAGAGGGCTGTGAAAATATCTACAGACCCCTCACATCCTGGACATAAACTGTTTCCACTCCTTCCCTCAAAACGAGGCTATAGAGCCCTGCACACCACAACAACTAGACACAAGAACAGTTTTTTTCAGAAAGCCATCACTATGCTAAACAAATAATTCCCTCAACACTTGGTCCAACTATTTACAAAGTCTGCACTACTATTATTATTAATTTTCTCATCACTCCTTATCACCCAGCCCCTCCCACTTGTGACTGTATGACTGTAACCTTTGCAACTTGTATCCTTACAATTTATATTGACTGTTTCCTATTGATATTGATTGCTTATTTATACCATGACTATTTTAAGTGTTGTATCTGATGATTCTTGACTCTTGACGAATGTATCTTTTCTTTTATGTGCACTGAGAGCATTTGCACCAAGACAAATTCCTTGTGTGTCCAATCATACTTGGCCAATAAAGAATTCTATTCTGTTCTATTCTATTCTATTCCTATTCCTATTCTTCTTCTCATCCTTCCTAGTATCTATCTCTTCCCACTTATGACTATAACCGTTGCTTGTATCTTTATACTTTATATTGTTTTGTTTCCTAGTATGCTTTGATTGCTTATTAGTAACCTATGACTATCACTAAGTATTGTATCTTATGATTCTTAATGAATGTATTTTTTTTCCTTTCGTTTTTTCCTGAGAGCATATGCACCAAAGACAAATTCCTTATGTGTGCAATCACACTTGGCCAATAAAGAATTCTATTCTATTCTATTACCTGGAGGTTGGACTACACCTCACATAATCCTCTGCCAGACTCAATTTAAGCACTAGAGGAGATAGGATCCACTCTTGCTGAAGCTATCAGGTTGGGGAAGGCAAGGCCTACACGCCCCACTTGGGGCAGAAAGGGTAGACTTCTCAGACTGGCCTCCCTTGCAGGGGTGTTGTGCCCAAGGGGGAGATGATTGCCCTCCTGCCCACATGAGATCATACACCCGTTCTTTACAAATGACTGTGTGCCATAAGGTTTGGGTCAACTTTTAGCAGTCGCTCAGACACAACTAGTCCTCAATTTACGACCACAACGGAGCCCAGAGTTTATGCTGCTAAGTGTTGTTAAGTGAGCTTTGCCCCCATTTTATGACTTGTTGTTAAGTGAATCACTGTAACACGGTTGTTAAGTGAATCTGGCTTCCCCCTTGACTTGGCTTGTCAGAAGATCCCGAAAGGGGATCATGTGACCGTCATAAATGTGAGTCAGTGGCCAAGCCTCCAAATTTCGATCATGTGATCCAATGGGATGCTGCAACGGTTGCTAAGTGTGAAAAAATGGTCAAAAGCCACTTTTTCTACTTGGAGCAGTCACTAAACAAGCTGTTGTAAATTGGGGACCACCTGTAGATTTTATTGCGGTTGAAAAAAAAGCCCCTTGCAAAAACAAAGCTTCTAAGCATGTGCAGAGTTCCTCCCAAGACGCCCCGCCCCCTCTATCCCTCCTTAAGCCCCGCCCTTTGCTCTCCCCCGCCTCTTCTAGCCAATCCCGTCTTCGCTCCCCGCAGCTGCTCCCAAACCCCCTCCTTCTTTCCTTCCCCTACGCGGCCTCCGATTGGTCGGCAATCGGGGGGGAGGGGAAAGCGCGAGGCGCGCGTGCCGCCACCCCGCCGGCCAATCATCCGCCTCAGCCGGGCGGCGTCGGCGTCGAAACGACACCGGGGCGGGCCAATGAGGCGCCGCCAAGCGCGTGTCCCGCCTTCCTTCCCCTTACAGGCCGGCGGCCACGCCCCTCCCCGGTTGCCTGGCGAAGCCTGAGGCCTGGCCGGGGCCTGCTCGCCCGTCGCCGCGATGCCGCACGGCTTCAAAGCCGGAGACTTGGTGTTCGCCAAGATGAAAGGCTACCCGCACTGGCCGGCCCGGGTATGTGAGAAAGCCGCGAGGGGGGGACGGACGGGCGGGAGGGGGAGGAGGGGCGGGCGGGAGGGGTGGGGGCGGCACGAGAAGAGCCGTCGCCTAGCAACCGCGCCCTCCCCCCTCCCTCCCTCGTGGCGGGGGGCGGCTCCCCCGCCTCCCTCGGAGCTCACCCTCCACGTGACTCCATCACGGGGAGGGGGCAGGGAGCCCTCCCTCTGCTCTATGGTGGGGGGGGCTCATCCTGTGGGCTCAGGAGGCTTGGCAGCAGGAGGGGAGGGGGGGTGAGTGTGTGTGTGGGGTCCTCCCCCCTTTGCAACCCCTTTTCCTTTGCAAACCTTTTGCAAACCTTTTGCAAATCTGCAGGGCTCTCCTGCAAATTCCCCTACCTTAGCATGCACATTTCAGTGCGGGGGGGGGGTTGAGTGCAACGGGGAAGTCGTGCAAATGCACCCCTGCATCCTTTCGGCGTGCAATCTGGGTCTTGTTTTCGTGTAAGGATAAAGAAACAAAAACAAAAAAAAAGCCGCCACCCACCCACCCCCTCCGCCCCGTGGGTATGCATGCAGGTGCAGGATACGGTTGCTTGCTCTTCTATAGCTGCAAAACACCTCTTCGACCGGTCCCTGCCATTGTGTGCATGCTTGTGTGGTTTATAGATGGTTTGCATATATGTGTGTGGGTGGGTGTATATGTATGTGTGTATATATGCAAACCACCTATAAAGTGCATGTGCGCGCGCACACACACACACACACATATATATATATATATATATACATACAGAGAGAGAGAGAGATGTTTATATGCGTGAACAGGTGAGTCCTTTATATGTGTGTACAGGGTTACTAACTTATTAACCGTAGTGATTCTCTTAACAAGGTCAAGAAATGTCCTAAAATGTTAAAACTCACTTAACAAATGTCTCACTTAACAGCAGAAATTTTGGACTAGGGTTGTGGTCTTAAGTCAAGGTCTACCTGTAGGTATGTGCATTAAATCCCATTTGGGGTAGCAATTAAGACCCTGGAGACGGTGAGTTCTAGTTCCGGCTTAGGCATGAAATCCAACTGGGTGGTTTGGGTCAATCATCGGGAGACGGTGAGTTCTAGTCCTGCCTTAGACACAAAAGCAACTGGGGGGGCGGGATTTGAACCAATCACCAGGAAATGGTGAGTTCTGGTTCCATCTTGGCATCAAAAGCAGCTGGGTGACTTTGGATCAGTTCCTCTCTGTCGTCCCAGTATACCTCGCGGGATTGTTATGCGGAAAAAATAAAAGGAGTATTTATGTGTGCCATCTTGACTTACCTGTACAATAAGAAAGCCAGGATTAGAACGGTAGACTTTATATCGTATACTGCATAGACGCACGCGCACACAGAATACATACAATATATGTGTATGTGTATACAGACAGCATATGTCCCATTTAATGAAAAGAAGGCCTAGGGGAGACATGATAGCAGTGGTCCAATATTTGAGAGGTTGCCCCAGAGAAGAGGGAGTCAATCTATTCTCCAAAGCCCCTGAGGGCAGGACAAGAAGCAATGGGTGGAAACTAATCAAGGAGAGAAGCAACCTAGAACTAAGGAGGAATTTCCTAACGGTTAGAACAATTAACCAGTGGAACAACTTGCCTTCAGAAGGTGTGAGTGATCCAACACTGGAAATTTTTAAGAAGAGATTGGACAACATTTGTCTGAAATAGTACGGGGTTTCCTGTCTGAGCAGGTGGTTGGATGGATGATCTCTTAAGCTCCCTTCCAACTCTGTTTTATGTTCTTAGAATATATATGATGTCCAACACTAAATAATAGCTGCAGGCTCCTTCTGGCCCAAGCGTCAGGCCAATGTTGACCTTCACAAAACCCCAAGGGCTCCTCCTACTTGAGTGTGGAAGAGTTACCTGCCTATGTGTCCATGGGTAGCATAGTCCATGGTCTTCTTATCAAAGACTTGTTGAGTTTCTGTTGCATTACTCCATGATTTAATCCAGAGGAGCTAGGCTTGAGGGCTTGGGGAAACTTTTAGCTCTGGCAGTCTTCTGGCAGTTATATCTGAAGGGACCTTGGAGGTCTTCTAGGCTGACCCCTGCTGAAGCAGGAGACCCTGCACGATTCTGGACAAATGGATGTGCAATCTGTTTATCTGTTTTAATGTGTCCTCTGTGCCAAAGAAGGACAACAAGCCAACTTAGCTATTCTGTTCTTTGGCTGAAGAAAGGAAGCTGCAAAAGGATTTTTTTTTAAAAAAAATTGTTTTTATCTGCTGGACTCCTCTGTTAGCCATCACTTGAGCTGTAGGAAGGATTTCCCTGTTTCTAATCAAGATTTTGTGCTTGGGTTTTATTGACAATTATCCCTGCTGTCACATTCCATGAGATTTTCACAGGTGTGAGTTTAAATGCACATCCATACTTGTGTCTGCCCCATTTCTCTCTTCAAAGTCTTAAGCCACATAATCAATACGGTAATGAAAGCAATAAATAAATTAGCATATCTGTCCCTGAAATAACTATAGTTTTCTGAGTTTAAATATTTGCCATTTGATGGGATAGGCATCGAGGAAGAAATAGCATTAGGAAAATAATTCTGTCTTCTTGCATCCCCAGTTTGGTATAAATTTGGCCCTGTAGGCTGGTTATTATTTTAAGTTTGCTCATTTTAAATTCCCACTCCTCCTACCACTGATGATGTCCCCTAGTTGGGTAATGAAACGTCTGCAAAGAAAACCACGAAGCCCAGAGAGCACCAACGACCCCACCGTGTTTTAAGTCCTTTTGACGTTTGTATAAGAAGTTGCATTGCGAACAGCCTTAGGCTAGTATTCAGAATACAGAATAACAGTTGAATGGGACCTTGGAGGTCTTCTAGTCCAACCCATTGGTCAAGCAGCAAGACCCAATGGTTGTCCAATCTCCTAAACAACTTTTAAAAAATTCTCCCGAAGCACCCACAATTTCTGGAGGCAAATTGTTCCGCGGATTAATTGATCGATTGATGGGTACCATCACCGCTATTTTAAATTAAACTCATCTGACACACCTTGTCATACATTCAGCGCTCTCTTTCCTGCACCCAGAACCTGTCCTTTGTGGGTGGCTCTGCTTGCTACCTCTCTCGGTTTAGTTGAGCATCCTTTAAACACACGTTTTCCTGACAATTACTTCCTGGCTTTAACTTCAAGCCATCCGCTCCATTAATTAGTCTGCTAATCCTCCCGTCAAATGCTCCGTTTGCAGGCTAAATTTACTTTGCCGGTTTACAGCCTTTCCCTGAGTATGAAGGAAGTGAATTGGATTGCTGGAGAGAGAGAGAGAGAGAGAGAGAGAGAGAGAGAGAGAGAGAGAGAGAGAGAGAGAGAGAGAGAGAG